TTTAGCATATTCCCATGTCGGAAAATGGCTGGAAACAGGCTGGGGTGTTACGCATCCACACTGGAAAAAATGGTCAGGCAGACAGGTAGGCAAGGGCATTGGGGAAAGCTGCACCCCTAAAAATGACTCTGTCCAGTTTTGGCGAAGAGTTTTGCCATATTGCAAAGTGACAAACTAACTCTTTGTTCCATAATGGGGTACTATGACCATGCAGACAGACACGAGTCAGCAGCACCACATTTCTTCTAAAACAGGTACTCTGTTGATTTTGTTTGGATACCATAGAGAAGTGTTGGCCCCAGGGTGGATGGAACTGGGAACAGTGGGGATTTAATCTTCTTGTTGGTAAATAAAAACACTGAGTCAGGAAAGTGACATTTTCACCATCCGTCTTTGCTGAGATTTAGTATACTCTCAGTATTGTGCGAGTGTGTGTCTTTTAAGATGAAGCATAAGATTCTGTGAGCCTAAGTGCACACAGGTGTCTCTGTTGGTTATTTCCACTGACCCTAGTAGCAGAATGAAAATGAGTGAGTGTTTGGATTCTGTGAGCTTTCTGATGGAAGGTCTAATTCAGTTGATTCTGCAGGCATGGGTGTGAGGTTGTGTTCAGATAGAGCCTTTCGATGTATAAAAGGGTAGGTAGTAGGGGATCATGACTGGCCATGTGCTAATTCCACTGAGGGCAAGGGAAAAGTAAATTTCCAATAACAAAGACAAAGTCATGTTATTAGGATAACCTTCATGGAGAAGTGATTCTATCAGAAAAGGCTCTTAAGAGATTTTAAGAATGGCTTTAATAGCTATGTTCAGTTTCCAGAAGGCTCTGCTCGTCTTCTTTTGGAGACCTAGAATTCTGTGTCTATGAAATAGCTCATCAATTCCATCTTCTTTTAATCTGAATTTGTGTAGAATCATGTCACTTCCACACCAACTGCTAATGGCTCATGTGGATAGATTTGAAAAACAATGATGAACATGAAATGAAGGTCATTTGGAAGTTTGTAATTACATTTGAAAAATAATAAATATGATGGAGACCCTCCTCCTCCATGTTGCCAAAGTATTTTACAGAGGCATTTTAAAAGAAAGTAACTTCGAGGGAACAACTGTACTGTAAGTTCTCTTGAGTTACTGTTCAAGATGGCGGCATCAGTCAAAACTTCTTTAGGGTGATTGTGGATAGGGTGATACATTTGATCCAAATCTCAAATCCAAGTATATTTTTTCTTTTGTGTTAAAAACCATTTATTTGTTAAATTCAAACAATCCCTTTTCACCCCCATTTTTTAGTATATTGTGAGCTCCCAAATATGGAAATAACTTGGGCCTTTGTGGACCTCTACATTAACACTTAGGATTCCATGTTTATGCTCCCACTAATTCACTCCCACTAATTCACCCAGTTTCTTAGATCCTCTTTCGATATCTTTTTGAATCCTTGAGAGGCTGAGACAAAACGAAAACTGAGAGAATAAATATTTACTCAAATGCATTCAATTAGCGAATTGGAAACTAGAAGAGACTTGTTATCAGGTATCAGGTCAGAATTGTGAGAGCTTTAGGCCAAATTTCACCTTGATGAAGTAGAATTGAGCCTTTTAGAATCTTGTAATGTTCTATTTCCTCCTCATCCTCACCCTCTGTCTCCAAATTATGGAATTTTAGCCCTTGGTTGTGTGTTTTAGACCACTTTGCTTTTCTGAAAGCACAGTGTAAGAACCCTGTTCAACGTTAAAGCATCGAACACATAGAGGTTTATACAAATCATTAAAAAGTTATTCGGTCTTTTCCCCTTCCTCCAGATAGAGTCTAAGTCCTTTAAAGAAGATGTGATTTTCAAAAACCTCTGGAAAATAAGGTGGAATAGATACCAAGAATGCCATGATAGAACCTGTAACACACTCGAGAAGCATTGCCATAGTTTTAAGGAAACGAATATAAGTTGGAACCTGATTTGACACCTTTTTGCTGCATTTCAGCCCATTTCTTTTGTAAATTTCTTTTGCTTTCTGGTAGAATTCAAGTGACCGTCATTATTGTTGTGGGTGGGGCCCTGGTCAAGAGGTATTGACTCCACTGCAGGCTTGGTGTTTAGAGATCACGCTCTCTCACCTTGGCTTTGTTACTGGGTAACTGATAGAGCGCGGTGGCTTTCAGCTTGGGTAAGCTGAATCTGCGGTGAGAATTGTCATCGGAAGACAGAGGCAGGAAGGCGGCCATGTCATGCAAGGGTCCTCTAAAATGTACTGCGGAATAACTGAAGAGATGGGGAAGATAAACTCTATTTAATGTTTTCTGTTTAATTTTTAATAATAAGATTTTTAATAATATGATTTGTCCTGAGGAGCAGGCAATTGTTCTCTTATTAGAAATATGTGACTATTATGTTTATTTAAATTGGACCAAGTTTTAAAGGGCCAGAATGTTAAACTGTGCAGGAAACAGTGCAGTGGGAAGAATGGCACCAATATTTGAATGAAACATATGTTTAAGCTGAATGGCATTGATGTCAGGACCCGAAACGTGCTGGAGTAGATACTTCCATGGATCCCTCAGAGTTACTGGATGAAAAATTTATTGGACTTCAGAGGGGGATAAAAAGATATTTCTCTAAGAATGCAGATTCACCTTTTGAGCACACATGGACAAGACAGTGCGCAGGAACTAGCAGTCAGGAGACCTGGTTTTCTACCTCTGGCAATGCTGTGTGCCCAGAGCAACACAGTGCCCCTCTCTGGGCTTTAGTTTCCTCATCTAGACAAAGGAGTTTGAGCCCGATCATCTATATGACCCATTTCAACACTCAGATTCTGATGACCAGAGAGAACCAGCTATGCCTAAAGGTCACCAGGTTTAACTCAAGTCTAAAAGCTAAGAATGGGGTGGGAGATGCTCTCCTAAAAATGAGACAGGAAGGAAAATCAGTAGGGGCCTTTAAATGGCTTCCTCGGGGTCTTTGAATTTTGGCTATGGGATATGGTGGCTGGTGGAAGTACTAAGACTGAATAGCTGGGGCCTTTTCTGGAGGTGTTACGGTCTGCTCCCGTGACAACATCCCATCTTTATCAATTTGCCTCATATGTCCAAAGTTGGTGGGAGTGTAGAAGTGGGTGAAGCTGACTGTTTTGTGACCACAGGGAGCAGTCACTGTGCACGAGTAAGCACTGTGACGACGTCATCTATAAAACACCAGAGCAGCCTGCTGAAAAGTGAACATTCAGGTACCCATGGAGTTGACTCAGTTTGTGTAGTGCTGATCAGCTCGCTTGACTGATTGTCCATGAATTATTGGGTAGATTTGAAGGACTGGGACTCCTTCTCCTAGAGGAGGACCCTAGGGGAAATGGAAGGGGAGCATGGCCGAGTCACTGGGCAGTCAACCTGCAGACTAGTTTCCCTAGAGGGCCTCAGCCTGTATCTAGGGCAACCAGCACTTACAACAGGATCAAGCAGGGTGGCCCATTTAAAGAAGCTCCAGAGTTTTAATTGGCCTTATTTTAAAAGAGACACCCTGTAAAAATACCCTTTTAAAAACTGATTTCACTAGCATCTAACCACACTCTGTCTTCGGTTTGTTTTACGGGGCTGGGTCCCTTGTTCTGGTTCATTGGATTCACATTATCTCTTTTTTTCCCCCAATCTTCCTCCACACTCTGGCCCCCAGAGCCTCCTTTCCTTCCTTTTTCAGAAACGTCTTAATGGTTATTCAAGTTATCTGCTTGTTGATTTAAAATATAGCCAGCATAGGTACATTCAAAACATGCTTTCTGATGAAAACAAAAGCGAAAATTAAAAGGAGTCCAAAAGCTTACTATAATATTTTGATTATTAGACTAATAGACCACCTCATTAACCCCAGCATTTGAACATAACTAGTTGTTTTTACCTTTGTATGACCTTGTCTAGATGCACACTGTCTATGATGTTGCAATTGTGGTAAACTTAAAATTTTATATTCTGCCATTTCCCCCTCACTCTATATCACAGATTCAAAATAACCAATCTTGGGAGTTGGCCCTCATTTGCCCAATTATGGATCTGAGAAATTTCAATCACCCTGCTAGCCCTTGCTTAGTCTGACATAAACTTCTTCCAAAAGCCTGAGTAGTCTCTTGGAATATAAAGAAAGTCTATTTTTTGTATATGACAATGGAGCTTGGAGAATATGGATGTCTTGTAGAGATTATTTTGGAATCCCTCTTAGGAACCTTTAAAAAAATACCCTCAGTAGGGCTAATGATATATTCTGGTGGTTGAGGTAAATGGAGATCTGAAAGGTGAGGCTGTTTTCAACCCTATCTTTATGGTGACTACTGACAAGACATGTTTTGTCTTTGTAGTGGGCTTTAGATTTGGCCTAAATCAGCCTCTGTCTCAATTATGTTCACTTATAAAATTAACGAGCACATGGGTCAGCTTTCACCCGTTGTA